AGTTGATGTAACTAAAACCAAATTGTGATGATTTGGGCAGATCATAAAAGCTTATACATGAGAAAGACACTGATTTGATCTCAGGTCCTCCACTAAACAGTGGTTTACCATTTACCCTCACCATTATTTGTTGCAAACAAAGTCCTCTTCCAATGTGTTTCAGATAAACAATTCAAATATTGTAATGGAGTGTGGGGAGGATGCAAGTTAAAACACGGAAGTTAGATTTGACAATGGATATTGGATCTTCAAATTTAACAGAAAAAGCTGCATAGTGCAAATTGATGCAAAAGTTAAGCAGCTTAAAAGAAGGGATTACGAGATGTGATAAGACAGGAAGTAGATGACACTGAGATTAATCAAAAAGGTTAGACTTGGAGCATGATCATACTTTGTTTACTCTAAAATAAACAAATATCACACTGTCATCTGTGATCTAGCTCACATCAATACATTCACTCAGCTCCTTACATGACAGAGCAGAGTATTAATGCAGTTTTGTTGATATCTTTCAAAGAAATTATAATTCTGCGATAAATAAGTGACAGTCCTCAAACACTAAGAATAATTATTGCTTATCATAGTTCCCTGGATAATTTTACACTAATTAATATTGTTCTGAGATTCTGTGCCACTCTAAATGGAAAATTAAAACTAGAAGATTAAAGCAGCTTTTGGGGTTTTACCTCCTATAATTTCTTTGTGATATTACGTTGGTAAAACCTTTGGGGAGGAGTTTATTCACTTAAAAACATGGGAGTTACTATGATAACAGATGATTGTATAAAAAGCAGTTCCCATTGGCTAAACCACGGAATGCACTCAAGCATTCTAGAAAGTACATCTTGGGCTTGTAGACCTGAGCATTTGACATATTGTCTACAAAAATCCACAATAAAAATATTTCAAAGCTGTATGGAGGTTCCACTTGCATGATGACTTGCCCTTAATGATAGTTTTGTGGTTGCCACATGAGATTTCAGAAACAAAAACTCAATTTGCTAGAAAAACTCAGCAGGTCTAGCGGCGTCTGTGGAAAGAAAGTGGAGTTAATGCTTTAGGTCCAGTGATCCTTCTTCAGAACTGCTTCAGGTTTCAATTCTTGACTTTCTTGTTTTAATCTAAATTCAGATTTGAAAAATTATTCAATTGAAAGTTCATTTCAGTGATGGTGACCATGAAACTATTGCTGATTTGTCATAAAGGGCCATCCAAGGAAGGAATTGCACTATCCTTACCTGGACTGACTCCAGACTCATAGCAATATATTTAACTGCCCTGGGAAATCGCCCAGAAAACCATTCAATTTAAGGACAATTAAGGATGAGCAGCAAATGTTGGCCTTGCCAGTGATGCCTACATCCCAAGAAACAATAAAAACAAATGTGCCTAGGCCTGATTAAATTGAAACAACACAGTGTGGAGCTGGAGGAACACAGCAGGCCAAGCAGCATCAGAGGAACAGGAAAGTTGGTGTTTCGGGTCAGGACCTTCTTCATAAACATTATTAAATTGATTTAATTGACCCATTTTATGTTTAGGATTTGTAAAACAGCATTTAGGTTCTTTTGATTGTGATCTATGATTTTTCTCCCTTGAAATTAACTACTTTTTTTATGACATTGAATAAAATTTGGGACAATCTTGAGCAAAATTTTGGGTTTTGAGTAAGGAGTCCATTGTCAGAATTGAACATCATCAATCAACTTACATAGGTGGTGACCCTATGTAGCATTGAGTCACCAGTCAGTCAGTTTTCCCAAATTGCTTAGTTAGTGTGCAGAATGCAGTGTACCCATCTAATTAAGGACAGCAGACAGGTTGTCAAAGCTAAAGAGACAACAGCAGGTTCTCCAACATGAGGAGTTGTTGCAGCCTGTCAATACAGGGGAATGAGAGAGGGGACACCTCCAAATTGTAGTGCACTGCCAGCAACCTTAAAGGTGGATGGAAAATGCAGTTGTGGCCAATTGGGTGGCCAGAGTCTCTCAAGGCCAGGCCTGGTATGCTGGCTGCAATTACCAGGAAACCACTGGCAGGTTCATGAAACATTCTTGATGGTACAGGAGGAATGTAGACAACTGGCAAATTCTAGTCTGATAGTTGACATTATTTGGCTACCCAGCACTAATCATAAGAAACAGGAGCAGGAACAGGCCATTCAGCCCATTAAGCTTGGACTGCTTTCAGTAACATCATAGATTGTGGTCTCATCTCCACTTTTCTGCTTGTCCTCCAGAACTGTTCACTCCTTTGTCAATCAAAAATCTAACTCGGTTTTTAATATATTCATTAACCAGTCTCCAATGTACATGCTGGGGTAGAGAATTCCAATAGTTAGTGACCCTCAGAGACAAAAGCATTTCTTCTCTCCCTCTTAAATGAAAGACCCCTTATTTTTAAAGTTCTAGATTTTCTCACCAAAGGAAACATTATTCTAAGCATCTACTATGTCAGCTTTTTCAGACTGTTGTGTGTTTTGAATATTATTTAGTAAAAATTGGCAATATCATGGTCAGGTTGAAAGACATAGGGTTTAGGTTAGGCTGTTCATCCTGGTCAGGACTCCACACCTCTACATCCCTGGCATTTCCAGTCCACATCATTTTGTCAATCCAGGCAGTACCTCCATCTTCACCAGGACCTGCCAACTTACCATACTTATCTGGAGCTCCTGGCGTTTCATTTGTGGGAACTAGCTGCAGTCCCAGCAGTGACCACCAGCCTTGATGGAGCTGCTGGGACAAGAGAATGCCAGTGTTTAGATTGTGTGAATCTGCCAGACAAGGGGCTTCCTTTACATTGAGGTATAAGGCCAACCTCAAAGCAATTAAAGACTTGAAAACTATGAAATACTTAGGGGACAAGCTGCCTCAATGCAGCAAGACTCATCTCTGACTTATGCACCACCAACATAAAATGCAGCTCATGATTCTTGCTAAGGTTCCTACAGTGGCTGTTATGGACCAGACCAGACCCCATCAAAATATATTAAGAAGGTAGCCTCGACCCTAACTTTTGTTTTTATTTCAAATGTAAATGTGAGGTGCTATGTTGCAGATGCAATTCAATTGGTCAAACTAGAGGACGTTAAGCAAAACACAATTTATTCAAACACTATAGTTAGGAAAAAATAAAGAAAGAAGAATTTGGGGGATCGTAACTCTGTTGGAAAAGTTAACAGAATAATAGATTATTTTACTGCTAAACAGTTACTGTTCCAATATAGTAACATCCCATAAACACATGTGAGGCAACAAGGTAAATTTAGAAAACAGATTGTCTCACATGCAGTTTTCCAATCCAGGAGGAAATAACATCAGAAGACAGTTCTGAAAAAGGGAGTGTGTGGCAGCCAGGAGAGATTCACTGCCTTCCAACTCTGCTGAGACACCAGCAACAACTGCTGAAAGCTAACTAAAACTCCTGGAGCAAATTACTGCAAATACTGGAATCTGTACTGAAAACAAAAAATGCAGGAGATCACAGCAGATCAGGCAGCATCCATGGAGAGAAAGCAAATTAACATTTTGAGTCTAGATAACTCTTCATCAGAGAGTCATCTGGACTCAAAACATTAGTTTGCTCTCTCTCCATGGCTGCTGCCTAACCCGCTGTAATCTCAAGCCTTTTTGTCTTCACTAAAAATCCTAGATCTATAGGAGCTTGACTACACCTACTCAGGCTGCTTCTATTGTTCCAACTTAAAAACAAACCCAAGGCTTCACAAATTGTTTATCTTCTCATAGAATGCTCACTACACATCCCCTAATTTCTCTCTAAAAGAAACCAGGGAAAAAAAAAACACCTCTTAAAGCCACAGTATTGTCAAATGGCGCAGATATCCTGCCATGCCATTTAGAAGCCTAGCCAGTGATGCCTACGTCCCTGAATGGCTGTTTACAAAGATAACAAGTGAATTAAATTAGAATAACAGGCCGTTTGCACACTTAGAAGAAAAGTTCTATTTCTTTATTGTGGAACTTGCTATCTCACTATTTACAAGTTAATGATTTATACTGAAACTTAAACAATCCTCAAAACTTTGATTTGAAGCTTCCACAAGATTATTATATTAAATGGTAAACAAAGTCTTACCTCCTTAATAATTTAATGGGACAAAATTAAACTTGATACCTGGAACACAAAGAAAGTTTGATTTAGCCACATATTAGAATGAAATGACACTATTTATTTCCATTATACTTATGTTATAACCAGTTGAGGAGGCAGAATCAGCTCCCTTTTTTAAAATTCCATCTCAATTGGTCACAGTAAATATTTCTTATCTAAGTCTGCAGCTATTACAGTTACATTGAAACACATTTATCAGGAAAAAAATGAAGGAGCCAAGTTGCAAGATTTTCTTTAGTAAAGGCAAGATGGAATTTTGTCATCTATGTAACTAAATCCCCAAAATAAAAGCAATTATCAGATGCAAAGGCAAACTTAGGTAATAAGCTAAAATGAATGGGGGAAGAGTGTTTAGAACAGAAAGAACGATAAAGGCCATTGTATTTTAGAGATTTTGGAGTCTTTGAGTTGTGAGAATGATTGGAGTTCCAACTCTTTAGCTGTTGTTTCTTCAGCATTAACAATGTTTTCAGATAACCTTGAGTACTTGGTGAATAGTTGTTTTTTCAAGTTGCTTCCTCTTTACCAAGTTTGAGACAGACAGAGAGAGAGAGAGAGAGTCATTGAGCTTCTAGTTGCTATCACCTCATTTTTTTTTTCATTTTGTTTTACCTGTTTTTTCATTTGCTACTCAAAAGCTGTTGCCTGAACCAAGGTTCTTTGATGGATTCCAATGTTTGGCAACCATTTTTTTTCAAGCTGGATGACCTGCAGGTGACTTTCATCCCAATGTGCAAGTTCCAGAAAGGCATGAACCAACCAGGAGATATGGATCTGAGTTTCAATGCCTTTAATAGTGATGTTAATTTGAACTCGGATTGATCCTTGTTTCCTGCTGGTTTCGTAAGTTGGCTCAACCTAGTCATATGATCACAGTAACAATTTTAGGTAAGTATTTGTCCTTTTTAACAGTTACTTTAGTCTATGCAAGTTCTAGGTGTTAAATCAGATGATGCAAGTTGAATATTGATAATCCATGTTTACTATTATGGCAACATTTAGGCTTTCCTTGATGCCTTTTACTTCATAGAATGCACAATTTAGAATCATTTTACAGATGAAATAAATCAGGATAATTTGTTTATAAACTGTTACTCATTGAATGAGTGTGTACACTAGAAGCCATCTGTCATGACAGAAGCTGAGACTGTAGTGAATATTTATGATCAGTTGAACATTAGTACTTTCAAGCGTTTTTATTAATGGATTCCCTGAGCGTATATTAAGCTAATGAAGGCTTGTGACTTCCTCAGCACAAACTTTTCTATGTCATTCCAGGCTCATGGGAACTACTTCAATAATAGTTTGAGACACCTGTCAATGATTGAATTTTCTTATAATGCATCTCTAATCAACAGTCAGATAGGCAACTGTTTCTTATTTCTTCATTCGTCCATTGCTGTTTACTTTATTGATTTAAACTAAGAAAAGCTTTAGGCTTGTTCTGTTGGTTTCACATCTAATTTAATTACTATGTTAAGCTATAATTTGGTAATGACATTGCTCTCAATTTCATGCAGTGCATTCTCTACCTCAGTTGAGCTGTTTTAAAGGGAGGCATTAGTTTGAGACGTGGACACTTCATTGAGGGCACTAAGGAGAAGATGAATTGCATCTAATCAGTTCTTGTTTACTTTATATTGAAAAGTTGCAGGATTTATTTGGCAATGAACTGCAAGCCAGCTCGAGAAGGATCCTGCATTTGGGTGGGTACAGTGGCAATGGTGGGTACTTAAAGAGGAGTTGAAAAGAATCAAAAAAAGTGTTAAAAACCTGCAAACAGACAGATGTATAAATTGTTTTAGAATGTGTGAGGCTATTTATGTGCTCTTCATCTAATAGACTGCACAGATTTTTGATTTGCAATATGCCAGCAATTTTGGCTTAACAGCCATCTAAAGCTCAAAAGGCTTTGTTAAGATTCTCCGTTGTGCTTGCAAATGACAGAAACATATTGCGCAGCTAATTGATTTAAATTTAATGCTTTTCTTTGTCTGGCAGATGACTGCGATGATCACTTAGTGTCTGATTTGCCTCAGTTGGTGTTCGATTCCTCCTCTGAGTTGTCTAGCAGTCACAGCCCTGGTTTTGCAAAGCTCAACAGACGCGATGGTAAGATGCGGGGCGATTGATCAACAACTATTCATGCTTACGCTGCTGGTCTCGAATAACAATGTAAAGACATATTCATTTTCATCTGTTTGATGAGTGTGAAAGGTCAGATGCTTTAACTTGTACTTCAAGCTATGCATTGTACAGAGCCAGACTGTGGGAAATTCTTTCTGCAGTCCTGTTTCAAAATTTAAAAAGCCTTTCAAGAAGATCATAATGATGGTGGCATTCTTATCTTTCTGTCTTTGTTTTCACATATTTTTAAAGTTTTGCTGAAAAAAGGCACATTGTACGCAATTGTTCAAAACCCATCCTGCGGTACCTTAATTTCCCATCATAATGTCTGGATGCATTTTAAACTGAGCCTCTGCTAATCCCTTCAGTCATTATCACTGAGAGAAGACATCGTGTTCATATTTGATTGAGTGACATTTTAATTGATCCCGTCTTCCTATTCCATTAGCTCATATGAAAATTAAAAATGTACATAGAATGATTTGAAGAACAGAGAGGTGATAGCCTAGTGGTATTATCACTGGACTATTAATCCAGAGACCCAGATAATGTTCAAATCGCGTCGCAGCAGATCGCGGAATTTAAATTCAATATGAATCTGGAATTAAGTGTCTGATGGTGACCACGAATCCATTGCCAATTGTTGGAAAAACCCATCTGGTTCACCAATGACCTTTAGGGAAGGAAACTGCCATCCTTACCTGGTCTGGCCTACATGTGACTCCAGACCCGCTGCAATGTTGTAAACCCTTAACTGCCCTCTGGGCAATTAAGGATGGGCAATAAATGCTGCCTAGCCAGTGACACCGTCATCCTATGAATGAATTTAAAAATAAATGTAAGGATATTAAAAAAGGTAAGAAATAGTAAAAGCAGCAGAAATTATAGTCCTTCAAGCTTGCTCCATCTTTAACTGCCATCATGGCTGTCATTCTGCTTCAGATTCACCTTCCTGTCCACTCTCCATACATCGCAATTGGCTGAAACATCTAAAATTCATCCATTCTAGTTGTGATGCAATGAGATTCATGTATATCATAATGATGTGACGGATGACATGATTCTGACAACAGTAAGAGAAGGGAGGCAATGCCCTGGGGGGATTGTCACTGGACTAGCAATCCAGACGCTCAGATAATGTTCCTGGGACCCAGGTTTAAATCACATCACAACAGTCTTTAACCAATACGATTAACTCCACATGATGTTAAGAAATAGTTGGAGGCACTGGATGCTGCAATCCCTACAGGTCCTGACAACATTCCATCGATATTACTGAAGACTTGTGCTCCAGAACTTACCACACCCAAGCCAAGCTGTTCCAGTACAGCTATAATATAAGCAAACACCTGATAATATGTAAATTTCCCAGGTATGCCTGGTTCATAAAAATCAGGACCTCGATCATCTGTAAAATATTGGAAGGTGTCATCAACAATGCAATCAAGCACTTATCTAACAGTAACCTACTCACCAAAACTCAGTTCATGTTTCGTCAGGGCCACACAGCTCCTGACCTTATTGCAGCTTTAGTTCAAACATCAGCTGAATTCCAGAGGTGAGTTGAGAGTGGTATCAAGGAGCCTTCGCAAAAATGAGTCATTGGGAATCGGAGAAAAATTTTCTGCTGGGTGGAGTCATACTTGGCACAAAGAAAGATGGTTGTGGTTACTGGAGGTCAGTCATCTCAGTCCCTGGACATCTCTGCAGGAGTTCCTCAGGGTAATGTCCTAGGCCCAACCATTTTTAACGGCTGCATCAATGACTTTACCTCCATCATAAGGTCAGAAGTGGGGATGTTTACTAATGATTGCACAATGTTCAGCACCATTCATGATTTTTCGGACGCTGAATCAGACTGTGTCTCAGTTCAGCAAGGCCTGGACAGTATTCACAGTTTGGGCTGACAAGTGACTGTTAAAATTCACACCACATAATGATCATCAAAACAACAGACATTCAATTGCATCCATCACTGAATCTCCAATTACCAACATTCTGGGAGGTTACCACTGACTAGACACTGAACTGGATTCACCATATAAATACAATGGCTATAAGGGCAGTTCAGAGTCAAGAAATCCTGCTGCGAATAACGCTCTTCCTGACTCCCCAAAGCCTATCCAGGATTGTGATGGAATACTTCCGACTTGTCTGGATGAGTGCAGCATCACAACGCTCAGGAAATTTGACACCATCCAGGACAAAGCAGTCCTCATGATTGGTGCTACATCCAAAGACATTCACTCCCTCAAACATCGATGCTCAGTAGCAGCAGTGTGTACGATCTACAAGAGGCTGCTTAGACAGCTCCTTCCAAAGCCATGACCAGTACCATCTCAAAGGACAGGGAGAACAGATAAGTGGGAACGCCAACACCTACAATTTCCTGTCTAAGCCATTATTATCCTGATTTTGGAATATAAAACACTCCCTCCAGTGTCACTGGGGCAAAATCCAGAAACATCTTCCCAAAGTAGGTGTGTCTACACAAAGTAAACTGCAACGTTTCAAGAAGGTGGTTCATTTCCACTTTCTCAAAAGCCCTCTAAGGATGGGCAATAAATGCAATCCCTGCTAGTCACATTTACATCCCATGAATTATTTAAAAATAGTGCAAAGACAACAGTCAAAAATGAACATATAAAGGGAAAGATTTTAGATATTACACAAGAGAGGTCTATTTAACAATTTCCTTTGTAGAGACAAACTTAATTGAGTTTCATAGTACTTAAGGAAATGAAGAGTATAAGTAAAGATAAGGAAAAACTGCCTCAGAGACAGTGTACATGGAGACATTTACAGCCCAGAGATACTCCAGACATGTAGCTCATTGTGGAGTATGAATATTAGCTTAAAGCAAAAGATAAAGGAAGAGACTTGGATATATTTAATGCTCTGATGTAGAGAATTCCAAAGATTCATAACTCTCCAAGGAAAAAAAAATCCATATTTCAGTCCTAACTGATTGAATCTTTATCACAAGACTGTGACCCCATGTTCTAGGTTTCCTAGCCAAAGGAAAGAGCCTTTCTCTTTCTACTCAGTCAATGCCCTCCAGAATTGTGTGTGCTTCACTGAGATCATCACTCATCATTGTAAACTCAATAAAGTATGGGCCCAATTAACTCAGTCTTTCATTAAGGGTCAACCTTCTGATTCCAGTCTAGTGAAGCTTCACAGGTACACATCCAGAGCAAGCATAACCTTCCTTAGAAATGGAGACCAAAACAACACACAATACTCTAGGGAGATAGTAAGAACTGTCGATACTGGAGTCAGAGATAACACAGTGTGGAGCTGGAGGAACACAGCAGGCCAGGCAGCATCAGTGGAGTAGGAAAGTTGACGTTTCGGGTTGGGACCCCCCATTTCTGAGGAAGGGTCCCAACCCAAAACATCAACTTTCCTGCTCCTCTGATGCTGCCTGGCCTCTGTGTTCCTCCAGCTCCACACTGTGTTATCCTAGTTCTCCCTGTATTCCTAACCTTGCTAACCAGTTGAATATGAGGAACCTTGTCGAATGCCTTACTGAAGTCCATATAGGTCATGTCCACTGCTCTGCTCTCATCAATCCTCTTTGTTACTTCTTCAAAAACTCAATCAAGTTCGTGAGACACAATTTCCAACATACAAAGCCATGTTGACTATCCATAATCAGTCCTTGCCTTTCCAAATACATGTAAATCTTGTCCCTCAGGATTCCCTCCAACAACTGCCCACCACTGATGTCAGGCTCACCAGTATATAGTTCCCTAGCTTTTCGTTAATACCTTTCTTAAGTAGTGGCACCATATTAGCCAACCACCAGTCTTCTGGCACCTGACCTGTGGCTATCAATGATCCAAATATCTCAGCAAGTGGCCCAGCAATCACCTCCCTGGCTTCCCACGGAGTTCTAGGGTATACATGATCAGGTCATGGGTTTTATCCATCTTTATTCATTTTAAAACATCCAGTACCACCTTCTCTGTAATATGGACATGTTTCAAGATGTTGCTATTTATTTCCCCACATTCTCTATGTTCCATATCCTTCTCCAAAGTTAACACTGATGCAAAATATTCATTTAGTATCTACCCATCTCCTGCAGTTCCACATGTAGGCAGCCTCGCTGATCTTTAAGAGGCCCTATTCTCTCCCTAGTTACTCTTTAATTCTTAATTCATTTATAGAATCCCTTTGGATTCTCCTTACCCCTGTTTGCCAAAACTATTTGATGTCCCCTTTTTGCCCTCCTGATTTCCCTCTTAAATATACTCCTACTGTCCTTACACTGTTCCAGGGATTCACTCAGTCTCTGCTGTCTGTACCTGACATATGCTTCCTTCTTATTCTTGACCAAAACCTCAATTTCTCTAGTCATCCAGCATTTCCTACACCTACCAGCCTTGCCCTTCACCCTAACAGGAACATACTGTCTCTGGACTCTTGTTATCTCATTTTTGTAGGCTTCCCATTTTCCAGCCATCCCTTTATCTGTGAACATCTGCCTCCAATCAACTTTTGAAAGTTCTTGCCTAAGACTGCCAAAATTGGCCTTCCTCCAATTTCAAACTTTAACTTGTAGATCCGGTCTATCCTTTTCCATCACTATTTTAAAACTAGTAGAATTATGGTCACTGGCCCCAATTTGCTCCCCTACTGACACCCCAGTCACCTGCCCTGCCTTACTTCCCAAGACAAGGTCAAGTTTCACACCTTCTCTAGTAGGTACATCTGTATATTGAATTAAAAATTTTCTTGTAAACACTGAACAAATCCCTAATCAAAAATGCCACTGCCCCCTCCTCTCCTGCCCCTTCTCTATCCTTCCTATATCAGGGTATCTATACCCTGAAACATAAAGCTGCCAGTCCTGTTCATCCCCGAGCTACATCTCTGTAATCGCTAAGATATTCCAGTCCCATGTTCCCAACTGTGCCCTGAGTTTATGTGTCTTACCTGTTAGGCCTCTTGCATTGAAATAAATGCAGTTTAATTTATCAGTCCTACCTTGTTCTCTGCTTTGTGGCAGCGACAGTAATCCAGATATTACTACCCTCGAGGACCTACTTTTTTCATTCCTGCCTAACTTCCTATATTGTTTTCTCAGAATCTCGTCCTTTTATCTTCCTATGTTGTTAGTTCCAATGTGTACAATAACCTTCTATTGGTCCCTCTCCCCTTTGAGAATATTCTGCACCCTTGCCGAGAAATCCTTGATCCTGGATCAAGGGAGGCAACACACTGTTCTGATGTCTCGTTGTTGGCCGCAGAAATGTTTAACTGTGTTTCCAACTAGGGACTCCCCTATCAAAATCGATCGCTTGGACCCTGACATACCCCTCATTACATTAGAGCCAGTCTCAGTACCAGAAACCTGGCTATCAGTGCTACATTTCCCTGAGAGTACATTAGCATCAACATTTTCCAAAACTGCACACTTGTTTGAGATGGGGATAGCCACAGAGATTCCTCCACTCTCATGAACTTTCATAGTTTCCTTTTGAAAATATCTGAAATATATACTTTAACAACATAATATTGCAATGAGCTTTGTTTTCTAACCACTCTAAGTGAATTTTCTTCGCCTCCCTAAGGGATTTATTGGTAACGATAATATTTATCATCTGTCATTTTGGATTGTCCCGCAACTGGAAATATTTTCTCCATATCTGTGCTGCCGATCCATTCATCATTTTAAAGATAATGATCTGGCCTTCCTTATTTTGTTCCTTTTCCAAACCCGAATGAATTCAATCTTACCAGATAGCGATAATCTCTTAGATTTGGTGCCAAACTTGTAATGTTTCTTTTCCCCATGTCTTTGCAGAGACCAGGATTTTAAGCGTGCCCTATCTTTTTTTTATTCACTAATGGGATGAAGGCTAGACAGCACTTATTGCCCATCCCTAATTCAGTTCAGAGTCAACCACATTGCTGTGGGTCTGGAGTCACATGTAGGCCAGACCAGGTAAGGAAGGCAGTTTCCTTCCCTAAAGGACATTAGTGAACCAGATGGGTTTTACCTGACAATCGACAATGGATTCATGGTCATCATTAGATTCTTAATTCCAGATATTTTATTGAATTCAAATTCTACCATCTGCTGTGGCAGGATTCAAACCTAGGTCCCCACAATGTTATCCAATGATAATACCACTAGGCCATTGTCTTGCCTGTTCTATAACATGATTATTTCTGAATTCTTTAGTTTCATGAATAAATTCCAGTGCTTTCACAGCACTTTTAATCACTCTGCTGATCTGAGATACTACTTCTCATGATTTGCTCACCCATCCCCAGGATCTTTGACACCATTCAATCCTCCTTTAAGGGAAAGGCGATATTTCTATTTTTTGTACTTTGAAGAGATATTCTGTTTGTTTGTTTTCAAAAATTATTTTGAAATAAATCCATGGGACCTTCAATAGTTATCTCCTTTCAAGCCTGGAAAAAGCTAACTTTTCTGTTAGCGAAAAAGGCCCTGAACTTCCAGTTCCTTGCCACTTCAACACACCACCTTGTTCCCTGGCCAACATCTCTGTTTCAGACTTGCTACAGTGCTCCAGTGAAGTTCAACGCAAGTTGGAAGAACAGCACCTCATTTTCTGCTTGGGGACCTTGCAGTCTTCTGGACTCAATGTCAAGTTCAATAACTTTAGGGCTTGAGCTCGTCCAATCCTTACTGCAACCCTCACACACCTGGCCTTGTTATCACAGTCTGCTATTACACGCAACCCATTGTTATTCACTAACAGTCCCCATTAATAGCTATTCACCCTCCTAGACATGTCATTGTCCACTCCTTCCAACTGTTCTTCTCTCTCTTTGGGCTCTATCCCCATCAATCGTTTACTCCTTACCACACCACCCCCCCCCCCCCCCAACCCTATCCTCTGCATATAAACCAACATTTTCCTGGCTACCTTCAGTTCTGAGGAAGGGTCACTGGACCTGAAACATTAACTCTGATTTCTCTCCACAGATGCTGCCAGACCTATTGAGCTTTTGCAACAAGTTCTATTTTTGTTTTTGATTTACAGCATCCACAATTCTTTTGGTTTTTATTCTCCATTACTTCCTTACAGTAGAGTTTTTCCAGTATGCAAAATATAACTCCTTCTGACATATTCTACTTTGGACACATATTTTCTTAGAAGTGTTCACCCTGCTCTGTAAATCCTTGCCCAATCATGATCATACAAATTATTCTGTAATATCCCTCGATCCTTTCAACTTGGTAAAATTGGTAAGTCTTACTATATACATGTATCTTTATATCATTCTTGGTAAATTTCATTTGCAACTGTTCCAAACGCTTATAAATTTTATTGGCTGCTGGCTGTCTTTTCAAATTCCACCAGCCACTTTTCTGCTTCACCTCCAAATTTGGCCATTTTAAATTTCTGAATTTGTTAATGCAAATTATACACAATGGGGTTTTAAAATGAGTCACTGCACTTTAAAAATAATGATTTGAGAGGTTTTGAACTGACGATAAAATTGGAAGGCCTGATAGCATAATTTTAAAATATATATTTCACTAACTTTCATTTATGAATGTAGTCCAGTTTTCTCATTTATACTGACAAAGTAGTGTACTCTGGAAACCTTGCCAATGTTTAACCCTGCTACTGTTTGGATACAGTATGTATTTCATTACTCCTTTGAATAATACATTGCAATAACAGAGAGGCGATAGCCTGGTGATATTATTTTCTGAGGACCCGGATTTGAAGATGGTGAAATTTGAATTCAATAAAAATCTGGAATTCAGAGACTAATGATGAGCCCAGTGTGGAGCTGGAGGAACACAGAAGTCAGTCAGCCTGTGTTCCTCCAGCTCCACACTGTGTTGACTCTGACTCCAGCATCTGCAATTCTTGGTATCTTCTTATGATGAACATGTATCCATTGTCGATTGTTAGGGAAAACCCCATCAGGTTCACTAACGGCCTTTTTGGAAGGAAACTGCCATCCTTACCTGGTCTGGCCTATATGTGACTCCAGATCCACAGCAATGTGGTTGACTCTTAACTATCCTCTGGGCAATTACAGACAGGCAATAGTAAATGCTGGTCTAGCCTGCAACACCCTCACCTCGTGAATGTTGTTTTTTTAAAAAAATGAGTGCGGTATGTCAGCATTTTCACAAACGGTGGCACAATTCCAGCATAATCACCAAAAATGAGCAAAATAAAATAAATGGAAGCCATTAGGAGTTCTGCCCACTTTCCTTGGCCTATTGTCCAACCAATATCCTTAATTTGCCTAAGGCTTTCAGTCAATGTTCTTTTAACATTGAACATGTGCACCACACCATCACTTATTACACTTTTTGCCCTCTGACTACACCTGTCTTTTTATAGTCACTGGCCTTACTGACGGATGATCCTGAGATTTTCCAGCATTTCAGAATTTCAGTTTCTGCCCAGAAGCATCTGTAGGGAGGCCAAAGTGTTGGGAGTCATTTTTGTTACTACATTTTGCTCTGCATGAAACAATGAATCCGCTGGCAAAAATACATTCAATAGCTTGCTGATAAATGATGGTACCAGTGCTGATAGTGTGCCTCCACTCTAAAATTGCTGCAGTTTAAGAAGGCAATTCACTACCACCTTCTCTAGGGGCAATAAATGATAGATAATATATACTTTTTTCTTTATTCATTAATAGAGTGAGGGTGCCGCTGGATAGGCAGCACTTATTGCCCATCCCTAATTGCCCTGAGGACAGTTAAGAGTTAACCACATTGCTGTGGGTCTGGAGTCACATGTAGGCCAGACCAGGTAAGGATGGCAGTTTCCTTCCCTAAAGGACATCAGTGAACCAGATGAGTTTTTCTGACAATGAATTCATGGTCATCATTAGACTCTTAATTCCACATATCTTTTATTGAATTCAAATTCCACCATCTGCTGTGGCAGGATTCAACCCAGGTCCCCAGAACCTTAGATAGCACAGTGTAGAGCTGGATGAACACAGCAGGCCAAGCAGCATCATAGGAGTAGGAAGGCTGACGAATTTTCTGAAGAAGGGTCTAGGCCCGAAACGTCAGCCTTCCTGCTCCTATGATGCTGCTTGGCCTGCTGTGTTCATCCAGCTCTACACCATGTTATCTCAGATTCTCCAGCATCCGCAGTTCCTACTATCCCCAGAACCTTATCTGGGTCTCTGGATTAACAGTTCAGTGATAATACCTCTAGGCCATCACCCACACCATCATATGCTTCAATGACGATTTCCCTCATGTACTTGTCACATTTCCCCTTAACTGCATTGAAGCTATTTGCCTTAGCACAAGAAATAAGAGCAGGATTAGAACATATGGCTCATTGAGCCTGCTCAGTCATTCATTTTGATCATAAGTTATGTGGGGTTTCAACTGTTCTTTCCTGCCCACAACCCCTATGCCAAGATTCCTTAAGACCAAAAAACTGTCTATCTCAACTGTTTTTAGTGATGGGGCATTCACAATACTCTGAGGCAGAGATTTCTAAATATTCCACAACCCTTTGAGGGAAGTAACTTCTCATTTCACTTCTGAGCAATTGGCCTCTTGTCCTGTGACTGTGCAGCACCCCTCCAGTTTCAATTCCAAAACCAGTGGAAAAGAACCTTTAGTATCTACCCCATCAAGCCCACTCAGAATTTTCTGAAGATTCCTTTTGATTCTTCTGAACTCCAGTGAATAAAGAGCCAATTTACTCAACCTGTCTTCAATCACTGCATGTGGATGCACTTTTTTACATTTGTGCCATTAATTCGCAAAAAGCAATCAAGTCTTTACAATTCTTCTGAAATTAACACTTCGTTTGCCTTCTATTAATGGGAATATGATTTGAATGTAAAACATGCTGGTTTATTATCTATTATCCGTAACTTAAATTTCTTGATTACTTGAAGTCAGTAATCCAGTGTTACCAATTGCTTCTAAAACATTGTATTTCAGGAGCAGGTGGATGGTCCCCACTGGAATCGAACAAACACCAATGGTTACAGATAGATCTTGGTGAGAGGACAGAGATTACTGCCATTGCAACTCAAGGTCGATATGGTAGTTCAGACTGGGTTATAAGTTACTTGTTGATGTTCAGTGATACTGGAAGGAACTGGAAGCAGTATCGTCAGGAAGACAGTATTTGGGTATGTTCGTTCACACGGTCGTTTTCAATCTCTCAGCATAAAATGTTAGATAAAGAAAATTCCAATTTGTGAAATATGAACAATCTATAATGCAAATAGCTAGTACAATTGTCAGAATAATTAATAATCTCACCCCATGTATACAAATACTCAGTGTTATTTTTAGCCTTTATTTCAACTTTGTAATTTATTGTCTTTGCTTAAAAATAATTTCTGAGTTTCTGACTTTGCGCCTCATAGCTAATTGCCTGTATTGCCACATTTTTATCTTTATTGCTGCACTTTAACACTTTAGAAGTTGATTTTTTTACTAGACAAGATGCTGCATATTACTCAGCCATCAACCCATTCACTGCCCCACCCCTCTCCGGCATACAGAAGTTGGTTTCAAATCCATCATCTTAAAAACCAAACAGGTCATACCACAATGGTAAGAAGCGGAGTGGGGGGTGGTGGGGGGGGGGGGGGGGGGGGTGGTGGGGTGGGTGGCGTAAAGAAGGAGAGAGTGAGGCCTCTGCCCCTCAGTGGGGTGAAGTCCTACCCTTGACAGCTGATGGACAATGTGATAACATGGTGGGTACCTGCAGTTGTCCCAGAATTCATAGGGGACACTGCTGAGATTGCGAACAGGGCCCAAGGAGACCAATGGATCCCGGATGTAGTTCAGTCCTGGAATTTAGAGTGTGAATGGATTGGTAGGATGGCCATACAGGGAGGTTGGGGAGGTGGAGGTGACGTTATCATTTTGCGAGGCGGATTGTGAAAGCTTTTGGCAAGGAGTGGTCCCTGCTACTCTTAGGGCATCACTTGAAGAATGTGAAAGTGAAAGCCGCCATCGCCCAGAGGCCATGTGCTGCCGTCTCATTAAAATGAGAGGATACTTGCAGTGAATTGAACCCAAGGGTCATCTCACCTTATGCAAGGGGTTGAGAAAGCGGAGTCTTCATGACTACATCAATCATGATGTGAATTCCTGTTCCTTCCCACCTTTTAACCAGTTCAGTTAAAATAAATGACCCACCCACTGCGATCTGCCTTGTCCCCCTGCCCAACACCAACAACATGTGAGCAGTGTATTGTGTGGCTCCATTGCTTTGTTAGAAAGCTCAGTTGCCTATTAATTGTTACTTGAAATGATAGGCAGCCTGTCTATTTCACTGCTATTTCATGAACCAGGTCAGGAAATGAATGGGAATGCAGTAGGCTGGCCATCCATCAGATTTTACATGCCCCTCCCCACACACCTCACCAAAAAGACACCTGCCAGCATGAGCATAAAATTCAGCCCTTTATCCTTGATTCTATTAACCATTGCTTTGGTGTTAATGTCAGCAGACTACATGGGCCTTTGCAGAACAATATGTGTTGCTGTTGGCAAGACCAGATTCACAAGAGTACTGCAGCACACGCAACACACATCTGTGGAAGAAAGGCTCTCTACAGGAGACTTTATCCCGTCAATGTTCTTTGCAAAAGTCAACCTATGATTATTTTTTAACATTTAATTTCTTTATTTACATCTGATTAATAAAAATGTCAAAATTATCTGTAGCCAATCGATTTTTACTTAGTGAAGGTTAAATTATCTTCTTGGATAACGGTTTGGCAATTTTTTTATTTCGAGGCAGAAGCAACTCTCTCATTTGAACCTTGAAGGTCATTTGAAAAGTAAGGACAACAGTGCAATGAATAACGAATTGAGCCAGCAATCTATTAGGTCGTTAATTCACATTGTGAGATTGAATTCACTAAATCTGGGCTGAAAAGAAAAAGAACATTGCAAGGCTGCTGTGAAACTACAACAAATTTACTTACATGCTTTGCTGTTGGGATGCGTTATCTTTACTCACTTATGGCCTACATGTCAGTCTGGGGCCATATTTCGTAGTTGACTTTTGATGCCATGAGATGGAACTCAATATGAACAAAAAAGACCTGACCTGCCAACATTGTTTATACGCCAAGAACAACTGACGAGTTTCAGAAGTTAAAGTTGCAGTGAATAATTAGGTCTTCTTCTAAGTGCCCTTGCATTGAAAGAATTGTGGAATGGTGCTTTGTCTGTAGATAGTTTGTGTGATGCCAAGGAACTGCATCTGATAAACAGCATAAACTCAGAAATTGCTGGGGAAACTCCTCTTGCCTATTTTGAGTCCAGAATGACACTTGCAGATTAAACTAGAAAAAAAATGTAGCCTTGGACTTGAAACGCTAGATGAAGCCCAGATTTTCGCATTGACAGAGACCCCCTCTGTTGTGCAAAAAATGCCAGATGTCCAAAATCCCAAACCCCATCCAAAACCCAATATTTGTCATTACTGTTGCCAGGGGGTGGCAAGGTGGCTCAGTGGTTAGCACTGCTGCCTCACAGTACCAGGTACCCAGGTTCAATTCCACCCTCAGACAACTGTCTGGGTAGAGTTTGCACATTCTCCCTGTGTCTGTGTGGGTTTCCTCCAAGGTGCTTCAATTTCCTCCCACAGTCCAAAGATGTGTAGGCTAGGTGCATTGGCCTTGCTAAATTGCTCTTATTGTTCAGGGATGTGTAGATTAGGTGGGTTACAGGGGATGAGTCTGGGTGGGATGCTCTGAGGTTCAGTGTGGACCTGTTGGACTAAGGGGCCTGTTTCTGCACTGTGATTTGTAGAAGTAGCTACCCATTTAAATGACCAGCTGCTCCCACTCAAGTCAGATTTTTGAGTCCCTGGTCTGGAGATTAAAACAGGTAAGAGCAGGTCTGTTCTCAGTGCACCGTTTTTGGATTATGAGCGTATCCTTTTGTAGAGCTGGAGTACTCCTGTTGATATGGTCCAAGGAAACCTTGTGTTGGAGGTCTGTGCTCCTTTGGCAGGAATGGAATGCACATATAGGTATATTTCATGTGTCCGTGTCAGGGATAGTTAACATTTGCCCTTTAGGACTATTAACCTTGGAGAATTTTCTGTGTAAAAGGTGCCTAAAACCATAAAAACTGACCAACTTGCACTGTCCAAGATGTGTTAAGAAGGTCAAGAAACGGCAAGACATGTCAAGAGCTGTCAAGAAGTGTTAAGATCTTCTTGGCAGCATCAAGAAGTGTCTGGCCATTTTAATCACCGTGAAAGTAGATGAGTCCCATAAAAATGTATTTTATTTTATGAATGAGTGTGCTTTTCCCAATAGAATTTAGTGTGCAATATGGAAGTTTTAGTATTGTACCTTTATTTTTTTTTTCTCTTGTGTAAATGGTTACTTGTGTACATTAGGTGAGCTGGTGGGTGGAAGTTGGGACTATGTTGGCATAGAAGTATGAGAGATCAAGGAGATGGTAGAGAGAAAAGGTGGTATGGAGTTATGAAGAGGCATGGGGGAATGGGTAGAGGGCATTTGGTGACAAGGACAGGATATGCGGAATATAGGGAGGTGAGTGGTGATGACTGAAGAAATGTTAGACATTTGAGTCTTTTATTTTGATTTGTGGACACAGTGCTGGCTTCCCATCCAGCTGACCTCAGGGAAAATGCTGCCCTCTCAGCACTTTGTGGGTCACATCTCTGACTGCCAGCCCAGCCCAACACTCCTGGACCAGAAACCAGGTCATGCAGCCCAGTTAAACTGGTAAAGGCTAGGCTCACCAGGCTGGGAAATTTCCCACCTCGGCTCATCAGACCTGGGAATCAAAATCAGAGCCTCTATCTCTCTCTGTCCACAGTTGCTACCAGATCTGCTGAGTCTCCCTTTCACTTTGCTTTCCTTTCACACTTCAGATTCACAGTATCTGCAGTATTGCGCTTTTGCTTTGTTTCAAAGTGCCTGATAACCATCTGCAGCAGAGGTGTAGAATTTCTTTCTTTTGACTTCAACATTCAAAACAGGCTGACAACTTGCTATCCTTAATATTTCAGTACATTACAAAGTCAAAATCTATCCAGCTGCTTTTCCTCACGATCATTGAACACAATCTTGTGTGATTTGATCAAAGTCAGAAAAAGAAGGAATTATGTATTGAATTTGGGCCTTCCCACATTTGTACTGGGATTGTGTGAACATGAAAGGACAGTCGTTCCTGCTGAAAGTAAACCCCAGGCAACCTTTCAATGTCATATCAATTTGCAGCCTTCACTCCAATCGCTAATACAACATATTCGCTTCAAACTTGTGCCTGCATTGAGTCAGTGTCGAACACAGAAACATATTTCTCCAACTTGTTTCAGCCACATTACAAGCTGCGGCGTGTAAAAAAAAATCTGTTCCAATGTTCAGTTTAAAAAGCAATGTCTTACTTCGATACTTCCACAGTGTAAAACATGTGGAAGTAATGGGGACTTTTCACCCCTTAAAAATGGGTGAGTTTGGGTCAAGTAGAATGTCAAAATGCTCAAGGCCAAATCCAACTTGCCCACTTCTGGGTTTAATGGAGAAAAGTCCATGGCAAGGCAGAGGGGAAGGAAATGGGTCATACAGATTAATTAGCTCATTTAAATATTTTACTGAGGCTGCTTGCTTCAGGAACATTACTCCATTTTTGAGTTCATGCTGGCTGGCCCATGAAATTTGGCAGGAACTGAGATAAATAGGTTCTTATGTGTTCTCAAAGGACAATACAGCTCATTGTACCAACTGTGAAACTAATATATTTGTACATTTCACTTCAGTTAATGAATTGTCTGTGTTTCCAAGCTATAAGATGATGCAAAGTTCATATTTTGATTCTTTTCGTTGATGGCAGTGTTAATGGAGCATTGTTGTAGTCTGTTCCTAAAATAATTGCCCAATATGAATTTCTTTTTATTCCTTTTCTAATGTCTTCCTTTCTCTAGGCTTGGATTATTATTCTACACATTATTCCAAATCCTCATACCTTTGTCCAGATCATACCACAACCACCACAAGGCTTCAGAGTTTGCTTTAATGACAAAATGGAAGTTTATTATTGAAGAAATGAAAGTAAAATAAAATAGTCTGAACTATCTACATATAACAGAAATTCAAAGATTTTAAACACAAAGTTAAAATATAAT